TTGGGGGCAGAGGGAAAGCCTGGGTACATGTGCCTGTAAACCTCAGCCTTGGGGGGCAGAGGGAAAGCCTGGGTACATGTGCCTGTAAACCTCAGTCATGCGGGGCAGAGGGAAAGCAGATCTTGACAGTATGCCGCCGGCCAGCCTAGCCAAAACGGTGAGCTTCCAGGCCAGTAAGAGACCTGGATTCAAAGCACGAAGTGGAGAGTGGTGGAGGAAGACACATGATGTCCTGCTCTGTCCTCCACGTGCCCCCAACACTCAGTGTGCATGTAGCACACACACACACACACACACACACACACACACACACACACACACACACGGAGTGATACGTCTGTAGTGTTATTTGTGGTGGGGCATTTCGGAATGTGGTGCCCGCTGAACCTGTTGCTCTCTGAGAGGGGAACAGGGAAGTTGGGGCAGCACGGAGAGGGAGTGTTGGTTCTCACCGAGCTCCTCTGTCCCCTTGATTATGACTGTTCTTTGGGTTAGGCCCTGAACTTCTCAGGTCTAGCATTGCTCCACAGTCCTCTGCCCCATTCCATAGCCTATCGTGGAGATTCATGTTGTTTTTGTATTTTCTAGGAAATTCTTTTCCGTCTATGGATCTGGTCACAAAGCTTTTGATCTGCTCAACCCAAACTTCAAGTCTACCTGTCAACGGTAAGTATTCCCCAGGCCTGAGTAAATCAAGCTCCCCGAGGATTCAGCTGTTTTTTTTCGGGGAAAGGGTTTGAGACAGGGTTCCTCTGTGTACCCTGACTGTTCTGGATCTCGCTCTGTAGACCAGGCTGGCCTTGAACTCACAGACATCACCTGCCTCTGCCTCCCGAGTGCTGGGATTAAAGGCATGCTCCACCACCGCCCGGCTCAGCTGTCATTCTGAGGAGTTGTGTGGAGGTCTCCCTCGGGAGGGGTGCTCCTCTAGGCAGCTCTCTCTGGGGCTGGCTTGCTACTGTGCAGCAGACCTCGCCGTAGCCCCAACCCAGGCCTGGGGTGGCTGCTTGGAATTGCAGGTTTGTGGAGAAGTACATGGAGCTGCAGGACCTGGGAGAGGCAGATGAAGAAAAGTTGTTTACGGAGACAGGGAAGGCTCTGCTGGCGGAGGGGGTCGTTTTACGACGAGTGAGAGAGGCAAGGAATGTGAGTACCTCCTTGTCAGAGCTGTTCTGGTGGGCCTCCAGGGTGGGGCTCAGCAGGAGCGTGTGTGCTCAGCTGTGCATGTGTGTGAGTGCGCACACACATACATACACACACACACACACACACACACACACACACAGTAATTTCAGTTGGCGTTGTCTCTCTGGCAGTGAAAGGGGGGGGTTTGCTTGAAACCTTGGCTCATGCCTTTAACCCCAGGTCAAATGCTGCTGCATTGGATATCCCGGGTTCTGTGACCACTGCTCACAGCATGTTGCTGTCAAGCCCTTGAGAATGGGGTTCAGGAGACATTTTTGTGCACTTGCTGTTTGTCAGCAGACAATTGACATGAGAGGTCACTGCTGAGCATTTCCCTGACGCCAGGGTGCGCCTGGTCACACAGCTGCAGCCAGCTGTGTGCGCTGGCGGCGTCTGAGACACGTGCCTGTGCCTGGTCTTGTAAGCAGCACGACAGTAGTCACACTCCCTAAACCCTGACAGGTCGGTGTCAGACCCCAGGCTTCGCCGGAAGGAAAGCAGCCTCCGGAAGATGCCCAGGAGCCAAAGATGGACGCCCCCTCTCCGTGAGGCCCTTCTGTGTACCGAGCGTGCCCACCACCCGGGACAGGCTCGGCTGAGCTGCGGACTCTGTTGGCCTCCATCTCTCAGGCACGTCTCCTTCTCTGTTCCCGCTTCTGGGTTGTCAGAAACCTCAGTACCGTGGTTTGAAAGCACCACTTTTGTGAACTTTTACTTATGACATGGTTATATAAAGGGTTTTCTAATGCTTTCAAAGTCGATAACACCTGGAAACTTCCAAAGGTGCCTTGTGCTGGCTGGGGCCGCCGCATTGAACCTCGCCTTTGTTCTCGTCTGGATCCCACGGAATTCTACTTGACCACGTAGTGTGGCCCAGTGTGGCCCAGTGTGGCCCAGTGTGGCCCTCGGCCGAGTGTTTCTGTCTGCAGGTGGCGTCTGTTCCTTTTGCTGTAATGCTATTGACTGCAGCTCGAAAGGCCCAGGAGAGGCCCAGGCAGCTGCAGTAAGACTGAGGACCTGTCTGATGTGGACGAAGACCAAAACCATGACTTGAGTGTCATGGGCTAAGTGTGTTGGAGGTGATTAACATGGGCTTGCAGCTCATCAGCGGCTTAGAACTGTTTGTTGAATGAATAAATGATCACACTTAGCTAAAGACTGGTGTTTTTATTAGTAACTGGATTTCCAAGATGGCAGGGCTTGGGGCAACTGATTCAGATGGTCTTCTCCATGAACACCCTCCTCCTGGCAGCTTCACCAGACCGTGTTTTACTAGTAAACGAGATGCCCGTTGTGATGCAGCTCTGTATTTGTGGGTGGTAGTTTTCATCCTGAAGTCAAAAGCAGCTTCAGACGGTCCTTACCTTAAAGCCTCTGTGGCTTTTCCACGCAGTTGTCTGAGTGCAGACCTTCTCTGTCTGGACTGAAGGACAGAGTCCAGGTCTCGTCTGTCCACCTAATTGTATGGGAGAGCTCGGTGAAGGTGATGCAGCCCCCGGCCGAAGGGCCTCTCTGTTGCCCAGTGTTGATGCTGCGTTATGATTCCTCACCATGGGGGCTCTCACTTTCTCATGGAGAGGCAAATCAAATCCCATCCATTCGAAGACTTCAGACACCGATTGGGTCCCAAATACCCGCGTGGACTGTGGGGAGGGCATCGGACAGCAGTGCCACAGATGTTCTCAGGAGGGGTGGACTTTGGGGGGGCACCGGACAGCGGTGCTGCAGATGTTGTTCTTAGGAGGGCGGCCCAGGAGCTGGCTTAGCGCCCTCCAGGCCTTACATTTCTGGGCTTTTAGTTTTTAGATTCTGCTTCGCCATCAGGATGTGAGAATGTCTTTCTCCACATGTTCTGATACTGAGAGTCAGCCTGTGGAAGGGAGGGGACTCAGGCTAGCCCTGTGGAGGGGGTGGAGGGCTGCCACAGGGACTGGGAGGTTAAGGACCAAGTCCCGCTTTCTGCAGAGGCCTCCCTCAGGCCGCTCTGGTGTTTGGAGAGGATGGGGTCCCTTCTTGCCACAGAAAAGTCTAGAATCAGGTTGAGAAGACAGTGACTTGAGAAGCAATGAGGAGGACAGGAGCCCTTCTGACTTACTGCAGAAACCTGTGGTAGGGGGCTCGGGAAGGGGCTCAGAGGACTTGAGTTTGATCCCCAACATCCAAGTGAAAAGTAGAAGCCAGCGCACACATGCAGTCCTAATGCCAGGAGACATGTCGGTGGGTCCCAGGTCCAGCGAGGCAGCCAGCTAGCTGCCTTGCTGAACTCCGGCCAAATTACAGATGTGACTCAAGGACGGGGTGGTGGTACCTGAGGAAGGACACCCGAGGTTGACCTGGCCTCCACATGTACGCCCATGCTCACACAAAACAAAGCATGGTAGAGGTGTGTGTGTGTGTGTGTGTGTGTGTGTGTGTGTGTGTGTGTGTGTGTGTGGGGGGGGGGGGGTGGGGGTGGGGGTGGGGGTGGGGGTGTGTGATCCTCTTTGGGTTAGTCTTGGAATTCTGCCTGAGGGAATCTGGAAGGTTCTGTGCTGGACCCCCCTCAGCCTTTAGCGATCAGGGTCTAGATCAGATGGTGGCTCAGTTTGGAAATTTTATGGTTCAGATTGAGACTTGACCTCCTGCTGAACCCGCATAGGGACCACACTCGGGCCCTTCACTGTGGTTTGTACGCTCAGTCTGCTGCCCACCCTCCACCGAACTTCCCGTGGCCTGCATTCAGCTACAGGCGTTTCTTCCCTACTAAGAGCAAACAAGGACAGACATTTTCACTTTGTGGCCACTGGAGCACTGAACAGCATTTCAGGAGCAGGCCCTCCCAAGAGCTCGGGGCAGCAGAGGGGCCGAAGCCGGAGGTGGGTGTCCAGGCTTCAGTGAAGTCTGCGGAAGACGAGCCTGAAGAGCTGGGTCCTCCTGGACGTCCGTGTGCGCTGCTGTCACCCCGTGCCCGTCACAGTCACCGGCCGACAGAATGAGGGCGAGCCTGGCCTGGACGGGGGTGGTGTTGTGAGGGGAGGTGGTGAATGCACAGCTTGCTGGTTTTGCCGTGGGTTTGGGTGGGTATTGTGAGGAGTGATGGGAAACGGGTTTGGACAGACAGGGTGGACTCAGACCGTGACGGCCTTGGCAGCCACGGGGAGGACTTTGGTTGGGTAGGAAAGCGAGCCCGCAAGCTACGTCGTGAAAGCAGCGTCAGGTCAATAGAAGGCTTGCTCAGGATTTGGGAGAGGGAGGGAGGGGAGAGGAGCCAGCTAGTCCCAGTCACAGACGTGAATGACCAGGAGACTGGCAGTGTTGAGGGGGGGGGTGCCTGGGGGAAGGAACGGGCACTCAGGGAACAGGGCTTTAATTCTGCTTGGGTGGAGGTTCAGTGCCCAGGGGGCGGGGATAGAGGGCCCAGGCACTTAGGAAATGGACGAAGTCTCTAGTAAAGGAATAAGGTTCGGAGCTAGGAGAATGAATAGCTGCCGGTGGTGGCCATGGCGGTGGCGGTGGTGGCCGCCATGGCGGTGGCAGCGGCAGGGTACAACAGTGTGGGGTCTGGCCAGGGAGAAAGGCAATAAAAGTGAAGCCAGGGGCCGAGGAGGTAGCCAAGTCAGTGAATGTCCTCCCCTCCTCACACATCTGCACACCCGTACCTGCACCTGAACACAGGGAACATGCAAGAAATCGAAGCCAGGTATGGTAGTGCATCTCTAATCCCATCACTTAGGAGTCTGAGGCAGGAGGATTGCTGCAAGCTTGAGCCAGCCTGGTCTTTTTTAAAGACACAGCCATGAAAGTAGGTCGATAAAGTTTTCCCTGAGCTACCACTGGTACCCGCCAAGCTCCGGAGGATCCAGATGTGGCCCACCTGAAGGCCCTGGGCCTCGTCCATTCTCTTCCGATCTGGCTGTGACCAAGCCTGACAGGAAACTGGATTGGGTTGGCAGTCTTCCCGAGTCTGTCTTGGAGTGAGGGCATCTGACAATATGGCCCTGAGCGTAGAGGCCAGCTGCACGGCCTCAGCTAGAGGGAGTCAGTGGGGGCGGGGCGGGGAAGTGGGGGTTCTCACTGCTGGCCTGCTCTGTGCTCTTGAGGACTATTCCAGAGGCGGTCGGGCCCCAGCACCGCCGTTGGGTGAGCTGTGGACTGCTGGGGCATTTTTGTGAGCCGTTTGGTGGAGGTCACCTTGGCCGGCACAGGAAGGGCAGTTGCCCTTCTGTGGAAAAGAAATGGTTTCTATGTCACCCCTAAGGTAGCGCTCAGTGTGGCATGTTGGCCCTGGATTGGATGAGCCTGGCTCCAGGCCAGTTTCTGTGGAGATGGTGGGCCAGATGAGTGGCTATCGCTGAGGCTCAGTGAGAAGGTTGCTAGGGGAGGACAAAGGAGCCCGAGAGTCAAGGGCCCTGTCCCCGGAACACGCCAGCACCAACTGCCATTGCTTCCTTCCGCCAGCGACTGCAGAGGGAGGTTTTGCTGTTGTTGAGTTGCTAACGCTGACAATCACATTGCATTTCAAGCTTAATTTTCCCCTTGATTGACGCTTTTCTGGGACTTAACTTCAACATCAGTCACCCGACCTCCTCACTGCTCAGTTCTTTTAATTAAAAGATGGTTCCAAGCCACAACGAGTAGGGGGCCATCTATTATTTATCAAGCATTTGCCTTCCAGCAGTTAGTGAAAGGTCACTGGCTTCAACGGGTGCTTTGTTTTTGGTGAGCAGCTTAGATGAAAAAGATAGACCGTCAATCCCGGCTCCCTCCTGTTTGCTTACTGGCAGGACACTGTTTAACAGTCACTGTGGCATTTAGGATCGCAGGCCTCGGAATCATGCGGAAAAGTGCATGTGCGTCCCTTGCCAGCACACGTCTCCAAAAGTAAACATCAGGTTGTGATTATGGTTAATAATGAGGTATTGATTGTCTGAAAATGTCACCGCCCTGGAGCAGTTGGCGGCGTCACCACTAGATGGCGCTGCGCTCTCACGCTGTTCCACTAGAAAGACAGCTTTATTCCCTTGCCTCCGGGTACCTTGTCTTTCAAGGTTGGTAAGTGTCCTTGTGAAATGATGTTCTGGCTGAGGTTGAGGAAGCGGAGGTCCTAGGGTGCTATTGGGATGGAGTGGGGATGGGAGGGGACAGGCCACGGGACAGATGACAGAGGCCTACGGCTGTATGTGTTTAGGGGACGGGGTGTGCAGCTCTTTGCACTATAATAAGAGCCAGAGAGGAAGGAGCTCACTGTGCTGGGCCCCTGGAGACTGCCCAGAGCAGTGTTTCCTAACCGTCTCTTCTCAATGTCACATCTGCAGATTTCATGGAGAGGAAGAGGGAGGGACGATATAGGAAGGGAGGCAGTGAGGGGCAACCGGAACCCCCTCCCCGAGAGGAACCAGAAGTCTAACCTATGGCTGTCTTGTGCAGTGAGGGGACTCGATTTCCTGATCTGTGAGAGAGCACTCACAGCATCCGCCTCACTGGGTTGTGGATCAGAGGGCAGCAGAAGCTGGGGTCTTGGCTGTAGTCTTTGCCCTCTGTGTAGACGGGTTGGGGGGAGTGTGCGTTATGTGAACGCAGACAGACACAACATGGCACTGTGCTGCCCCACCCGTCACGTGTTTAAGCCCTTGGCTCTCTCAACCCTGGACCTCCCAAAGTTACCACTTCTTTTGTTTGTTGTTTGGTTTTTTAAGACAAGGGTCTCAGCCGGGCATGATGGCACACATCTTTAATCCCAGCACTTGAGAGGCAGAGGCAGGCGGATCTCTGAGTTCGAAGCCAGCCTGGTCTACAGAGTGAGTTTCAGGACAGCCAGGGCTACACAGAGAAACCCTGTCTCAGAAAACAAAAACAAAACAAAACAAAACAAAAAAAAAGGGTCTCACTCTGTAGTCCTGGCTCCCATACTTGGCTGTTACCATCTCCTTCCAGCACCATATTCATGAACAAATAAACACGCATTTTTAAGTGAAGAGTGAAAAAGGAAGCAAAAACATGTTTTAGGAGAGTACCTACTCCTGGAATGTACCCAGTGGTAGTAGGCTTCATTAAAAACAAGCAAAGAAACAAGAAATTTATTTTGATTTAGTTACTTCTGATGGAGCAGGGAGAAGAGGGAGAGGGAATAAAAGGGTGAGTGAGAGAGAGAGAGAGAGAGAGAGAGAGCAATAGACC